TTTCTTTCTTTCTTTCTTTTCTTTCTTTCTTTCTTTCTTTCTTTCTTTCTTTCTTTCTTTCTTTCTTTCTTTCTTTCTTTCTTTCTTTCTTTCTTTCTCAGAACCAGGGATTGAACTCAGGCCCTTGCATGTGTCGGGCAAGCACTTATTCTACTGAGCTATCTCCTCAGCCCCCCAAAAAGTCAAATTTCATGGACAGTATTTAAATCAAAACAAGTCAATGTTTTCATGAACATCAATAAAGCTTTATAACATACAATTCATTATCATTGTTTGGATTAATACTGTAATAATTACACACTTTTTACATTATGAAAATAAGTCATAAATAGTGTAAAAATAATTCTGAAGATCAACTTCTCACAAACTAGGAACCCTGAAAACAAGTTTAAAAAGCAAATAAAAACAAATTAGAAATTGAACACCATGCACTTATTTTCAAACTGCAAATCAAAAAACTTCATGAGTCTCTTGATTCAGTAATGTCTGATGGAGCAATGACAATGAAGCTGAAATCAGACAGCAAACAGGGAGAATTCAGTCTTTCAAATGTGTATACTACTGAGATGGTCAGGGCTGTGCCCTGTTTACATTGATAAACCACAACACGTTCTCAGAAGAATCAATTACATGAGACTGGCCCACAAAACATTGTAAAGACAACCACTCCATAATGCTTGCCATTGTTTTCATTTTCCTTTTAGTTTGTATTTATGTGGCTTTTTTGCAATATAAAAATAGCTGCACATAAAGATGAACTTTTAAATGTGAAAAACACAAAAATATAGTCTATCCTAAAGAGAAATCAGATACATACATCTTTAAAAACCATTAAGTTGAATGAAACATTTACAACAATATAAAGTATATTCACATAAATGTCAGCAATATGTAAGACATTCTTTTGTGAATCCAATTTGCTAGTATTTCTGAGATATGTGAGACTATCAAATGTATTTTGGGAAACATTGGTACTTCCTTTATTGTCAATAAATCAAACATGACAAGCAAGATTGAAAAAGTCTTCCTATTCTCAAAAGAGCATCCCGTCAATAAGCAGCATAGGCAACTTATACATTTAGTATATCTTTAATGAAAGAAAAAACTAAGATTGGACTATCAAAAAACTAAAATCACTAAAAATTTAAGTTGGAGGACTATCTCTTCTGGCATGTAACAAATCCAGAAGAAAAATGGAAAATAGAGTGTGAAAACATTAATATTCTAAAACAACTCAGCAGAATTATAATTGCTCAAACATGGAAATTCTAGGGCCACGAGATTCTTTTTTTAAAACAGGCAGAATCCAATGGGATCGTATTATATTTGGAAAGATAAGATTCCTTTCACTTTGACTTCTTAGAGATACCAAGTTTTTGTTGGCAGAGATTAGAAAGTTTATTTTTTGGTAGTGTTATATATTAAAATCATTTATTTTTATTTCTTGATACTGTTTTAAACATCAGCATCTCTATGTTGCTTGTGATCACTTAGTAGATGTTACACTATCCCCAGAGAAATAGAAATGGGGGCCCAGGGAGATAGCTCAGTGGACAGTGCCTGCCTGGCAAGCCCAGGGCCCTGAATTTGATTCCTGGTACTACAAAGAAAAAAAAAAGTGAATTCCTGGTGAAATGATACTATATATAGCAGGGAAGAAAAAGGATTCAAAAACTTTTTATGCTTCAATAATAAAATTTTTAAAACTTGAAAATTAAGCACGTTACCTAAGTGAAAGAAATATAACCAAGAGAATTTTCCCAGAGGTACATTCAATTGTGACCATTTTCCAAAATAGCAGATAGATACACATACACATATTTGTAGGCAAAAGATGTGTAGTATAAACCACTGGAATAAGTTCTTGCTGTCCTAGTAGAACATTGTATGCACTCGCTGCAAGTTCAAAAACAAGAACTTTCTACTAATGGAAGTGACAGGTATTCCAATGATCTCTGCCAAATCACAAGAAAAAGAAAAACCCTCCAGGACTGCTTTTGAAAATGAAAACTGGAAGGGTAGTTCAGGTGTGCTATGCACCAGCTACTCTCCGTGCAGTGCGCAGACTTCTTGAACATGATCTGTGTCGCTTTTAATAAAATTATATAAACCAAAATATGAGATAAATAAAAATTGATAAAGGCATGTGATATATGAACTGAACAGGAAGGAAAGGGATCCACCATCCATGTCGAAACATATCATCTGTAGGCACACTGTTTTACATTAAGAAAGGCTGGTCACTGAACCATAACGATAGCAAATTCATGAACTCTAAAAATAAAATCACATACAAACAGTTTAGGAATGCAATTAGAGAAACAAAATTATCCATAGTAGAGTTGCATTGTCCATAAGGATAAAAACAAAAGAAATATATTAGCACCAATCAGTGGGAATGGAAAACACATTTTAAAACTAAAACATACAATGTTTTATCAGAAAACATTTTCAGTGTATCTTTTATATATTTTCTCAGTTCTATATTCCATAATATAAATTAAAAGAAGCTCTTCAGAAAAAGTTATCTACCAACATTTATAAACCATCATTCATTATTAATTAATTTGGACCTTATTTCTGGATTTTCCATATTGATGACAAAAAGGATGTTTGAAAATATTTTAATAATCTAAAGTTTCAGATTATCCATGCTGGATAAGACCTAGGAATTCCACTGAAAAAGAAGAGTCTCAACATACTTCTATTTTTCTGAAGGAAACAAATGTAATGGGAATTTAGGGCCCCCTCTAATCACAGAATAAATTGATGTATAGCTCGCAATAGAGCGAAATTCCAGCACACAGAGGACAGTATTCTTTGAAGGTCTCTGTTCAGATTTTTTCAAATATGTGAAATGCTTCCCTTTTGATGTAGGGTATTCATTGGAAGCCTTGTAAATTTTAAAGAGCAGTCCACTGCAATACCTCTCTCTACTAAGAAATAGGAAAGAAGATGAAATACAGTCACCAGACTTTCCTCAAGCCATTATAGTTTGTCTGAAGAAAATATAGTTCTACTCCAGTTCAGTCTTTCCAAACCATTTAAGACAAATTGTTTCAGACATTCAGCAATACATGATCCTAACCATGTCATACAAAAAAATTATTAGATAATGCCCTCCATTGTTTTAAAAATGCTAAATTGGCTTAGGGCTTTGGAATGTTACTAAAATTACTACCAATTAGGCAGATCTAACAGTTCAAACATCTCTTTAACCTTGAAAAATTAACAAAAATATTTTCTGTATAATTGAGCATTGGATTACAAAACATGAAAGAGGACATAAGGATCTTTGTCTTGGAATTGTATCTTAATGGTTGGTACCATAAGCCAAGGTTAGCTGATTTCCCTGCTGGGGGTAAAAACTAGCAATTTTCTCACAAAATAATGCAGAATCATTGAGGGACCCTCAATTCTCAGATGGCCACTTGGTAGGTAGCCTTTCTCACTGGCACGTTTCTCCTCATGTAAACTTTTTACTTAATAGACCACTTTAGACCATACCACCAACTCTTTTGTGTGCAAATGAATTCTAGTCTAACATGGTTAGGCAATGTTTGAGCAAGTAGATGAAAAAATACTCTTTATGGCAACTATATTTCACAGCTTTCTGATATCTCAGATTTGGTCTGTGGATAAGAGAAACACAAATGTAAAAAAAGAAAGAAATCTAAATATAGAAAAACATAAGAAATAAAAGTTAATGTTATCAAAGGTGATAAAATCTTGACTTTATATTAACTGATAATCTCTATGTATATTACATTCATCATGTAAAAAAGTCAAAAAGTACTAAGAAAAAGAGCTTTAACTTCATGCTTTTCAATGATTAAGCTGAAAATGGAGCTTTCTTGATCTCTGATTATCTAAAACAAGAAAGATGTTAGTAAAAAGTCATTTGACAATTGGCAGTGAATTAGTATGATTTTGAAGACTTTTTTAAAAAAAATTGTTCAAAGATATGATAAAAACAGAAACAAATATATTCTAAATATTCCTTGGAGTAAAAGAAAAAAGCAATGAAAAGAATGAAAAATATTGTATCTTTGTTTCTCTAGAGAACTTGTAGAAAATGTTGGCCATGGGTGGATCTCAGAGGGAAGGAAGGCTGGCATGCTGGCTGTGGTGACGACAGCCCCAGAGAGCTCCCTGCATCTTCAGGATAGGACATGTGACAAGGCCCTCTGTGGGTCTCCTTTCTCCAGCGACCTGAGCTTTGATGGCACATGCACACTCTTGGTTCTTGTTCCTGGCTCAGGAACAGCGTGGCCATTTCAAAGATCTCCTGTCCCAAAGGAAGAGCTGTGGCCTCTGTCATTTTCCAAAAGTGCCCAGACTAATTGTACCTCGCTGAAATCCAGTTTATGAAATAAGAAAGTCTGCTGTTCTGGTCATGCACATTCATGACCCACTTTTCTCCTTGGTCACAGGAGAGGCCGTGCAGGATGCCCAACCATTCCTCTTCTTATGCCTTCACCACCAACGGCAGCCCAAGGAAGCTGGCAGTAGCAATCAACTCAGCCCCTTGGTATCTTAACCAAGGTGACCCCAAGAGCCCGTGGCACTGGAAGCTGTAGATCTGCAGTTGGGACTACAACTCCCTCAAAATACAAGACCAACCATGCGCACGCTCTCCATCAACTTATCTCTTTTTGGCAATGAGCCACGGTGTAACCCCCTTGAGGTGACAAAAGGAATAAGAGCTCAGATGTAATTGAGGGATTCATCAAGCAGCATGCTCATGTGTAGGGTTGCACAGCAAGCAGGTTGGACACACAATCATGCTTTGTTTTAGTCCGTTTCAGTGGGTGGTGTGACCGTGAACCAATGCTAGTAGGGGAGGTGGGTGGGAAAAGTGACAACGGACAAGTCAGTTGGTTCAGCACATGTTCACAGCCTTGAGTCCATATTTGGTCACAATTTCATGTAAACGATTTCATGGAGCTCTCTGTCCATGCAATTAACAAGCTCAAAGTAAGAAAATAGCAAGAACAATCATTCTTTATCATGGAAGTCCATATAAATACATATCCTCACAGAAGAGATACTGATCTATGTTTTTTGCAGGCTTCTCACTGGTTTCATAAATTGCCCAATTTCAAATGTGAGTGGAGAAATGATGGACGTGTACTACTGCACACAGGAAGGAGCAGCTCTATGTAAACATAGCTCGGACTCGTAAAATCTGCAATTCGCTTTTCAACTATAAATATAGAAAGTGGACCATTATATACACAACTTCATGCTTGGAAAGTTAGATTCATCACTGCAGAAAAACAGACAACAAAAAAGACAGATACATGGAATTAGTGTGCAGTCTTAGACGACATTTCCAAAGTAACATTCATTTTAAGGAAGCTGGTAGAACCTCCAGTAGAGGCTTTTTCAGTGAACCAGCTGAGCATTTGATAGGGTCTTGCTGAATTGCCAAGACTGGTCTCAGTCTCCTAGGTAGCTGATGTGGGCCACTTCCCCCAGCTCTGAAGCTTTTCTGAATTCCTGGATATCATGACAATTTTTATCCTAAGTTTAGCCAATTCTTTCTTTGCCACTAAGAATTCTGTGACAAATACTTGCTTTAGTAACTTTCCTGAGAAAGCAGAAAATTAGGATCTCATGAAAATGTGCTACCACTGAATTCCAGTGGTTTTGTGTGTATATGTGTGTGCACTCATGTGCACATGCCAGGAATTGAACTCAGGACCCTGTGCTTACCATGCAGGTGCTTGTGGAGCTGAGCTACATCCCTGGGCCCCTCCATTGTATATTTGTGCCTTTCATACTCAGAGCGTCACAACCCTACTGTGGAGAAGTCGCAGGCTTTGGGCCTTGGTCACACAGCTTAGGTCTCTAGCACCTGCATACAATGCCCTGTGTGTCTCCAGTCTTGCCTCTGCTTTTATTTAGTCCTGTCCTAATGTAATAACAGGGAAGGCAGCTCTACCTGCTGTCAGGGTTTGAGCTTGGTGACAGGCCCCTCTGTGACCTGCAATTCTCTGGCTTTTCGTTTTGAGCAGCTTTATTATGAAAGCTTCCTAGAGCTGAGGTTAAGTCTGAGAGGCAGCAGAGCCTTGTTGTTTGAAGAATAAACGTATAGCACAGACCTTGGGGACTTGAGGTTTACTGAGGGAAAAATCAGCAAGGAAAATGAAATGCAGAGAATAGAAACAGAATGATAGAGGTGTCTTCACCCACCCTCCACAGGTGACTAATCCTGAGGCACCTTTCAGTTAACTCATGTTTTTCTCTCCATGAAAAATAGATGCTGCCCTGGGAATGCTAGGGAGGGTGGGTGCTTTCCTTATGGATGGCAATCACTCAGCGTTCGTGTACAGCGTGTCATCTTGGGGCCCAGAGATGCACCCGTGGGACACATTCATGCTCTGAAACTGTGCTTAGCTCAAAGCTCAGCACTGGTGCAAGTTTCAGTGCCACGGCAAGATCTGTAAATGCACACGTCTGAAAGATCTCCCCACCCCTGATTTGAAATTTTCATTTAGAAAAGTCTGTGGTTCGGCTTTGGGAAGATTCTGCTGCAGATCTGTGAGCCCTGCCTGGAAATGCCAGATTCGGTGCAGTATTAAGGCAGATGAAGGTGTGGTCCTCGAAGGTGAGGCGGCAGGTGCTTTGGCTACTGGATAGTGTCTGATGGCCAGTGGGAGATGGAAGATGGGCTCAAGAGCTCCTAATTTCTTAACATATTCTGCTGTTTCCTCATGAAGAGAATTATAGGGTGAATTGATACATTGCACTTCAGTTCTCGTTTAGCAAATCCTCTATGTTGATAAATTTAGAAAATGAAACAAACTCTCAAAAGAAAAGTTATTTAAAAATCAAATAGGTTTGCATGAAGGACTTAACTACGAAGACAGCATGACAAGAGAACTTGCTAAGCACAGTGATATGCTCTGCCACACCTGAATCTTAAGTCAGACATTTGTTATGTGTTCTAGAATCTAATAAACCCCAGCAGAGTTTATAAGTTTAGAATTCGTTGAAGCAACTGAATGACTTTTTAAAAATACATTATTTTAAAAATGATCTGGCCTATTTCAGGTAATGAAGTTGACCACATCAGAAATTTGAGAACATTTCATTTTTCTTTTGCTTTCCTTTCTTTCCTTCATCTCGTCTCGTCTCATCTTGTCTTGGCTCTGCTCTGCTCTTCTCTTTTCTCTCTTCTTCCTCTGTCTCTGTCTCTGTCTCTCCCTCCCTCCTTTTCTTTTCTTTGGATTTTGGTGTGGAGAGATGAAAGAGGTTGACCACAGTGACTTGCATTTGTGCGCTGGGATTGTAGTATACAACCATGAAATTTTATCACTGAGCTATTTTTCTTTCTACAGGAAGTTGATAGATTCATGAGATCTTTAATTTTAAACAGAATATGATATATATTTTATGGAAAATTGAGTTCATAAAAGGGAGACTTCTGATTTCCTAACACTAGTAATATTACTATGAGATTTACCATCCCACATGTGGGCATTATTGTCATGTTCTTACAAAGAGGAAATGATTTATTTTTTAATTTTTTATTGAGAAATAAATATGAATGAGACAGTTTTCCAGCTGATTAATAGGACAGTTTTGATATACAATACACTGTACATTGTTATCTTCTTAGTGCTTATCCATAGTACAAGAAGCAGACAGGATATTCTGTCCAAACACTGTTAGTACACCTCTTTCTTCTCATTGAGTTAAGCGAAAGTAGCTGTAAATTTATCCTATTTTTTAAAACTATTTTGTATATATAAATACAAAATGATCTTTCCTTTGTATCTTTTTTTTTTTTTTTGAAATGATTTAGAGGTGGCCAAAACCACAGCGAGCCCCAGCTCAGCCTTTCACCCTCTCTCCAGGGTGCTGCTGATGGATCCAGAACCATTACCTTGTGGGATGCCCGAGGTCAGATAGCAGGCAGCCATCCAGGTGCAGGATGACAGGGCAAGTCTTAGGGTGGGGGAGGGAACTTCTAGGGTGAAGAAGGTCCATAGGCTGGGGCCCACCTGACCTCAGTCAAGGCCAAACTCTATCTCTCAGGCTGAAAGCGGAGTGTGGGAAGCCACTAAATAAATGATGCAGCAGAGAAAGCAGCTCTGCTTTCCCAGGCCAAGGAGGGGAAACTGGTAGAGGAGGGGAATTGGGCCAGATTCCCTCACAGGTGGAGTCACTGGTCTCCAAGGCAACCAAGCATCTCTTGTTTCCGTAACCCTGGTTTGATACAATTTTGCCAGGGAAGCCTGTCTGTGCAGGATTGCTGAGTGCGCTGAGCTACAGGTGCTGGAGAACAATCATTCCAGATGACCAGAACACTTGTCCAGGTGCCCTAGCCCATGTGCCCATCTGTGGGCCTGCTATCCTTCAGGACCATGTACCCAGCACCCTGGTCAGGCTCACACTGTCCTCAGGAGAAGATGTGATGTCTCGGGAGTGACACATCAAGTCTCCTCTCTACTTCAGGTGCTGCCATGGCCCTCCATTATTCCCCACTGTCTACCTCACCAAGCACCATTACACACCAGCTCCAGCTTTTGGAAATTCCTCTGCCTCCTAGAATTTCCTCATCTGCAAGTTACTGCATGGACTGGGGGAAATGACTATGTGAAAGAACTCAATCAGTGCTTGCTCAAGGAGGTTTTCTATATGGGGCATGTTCCCATCCTTACCCAGTGTCTATGAGTAGCCAAATGAAAAGATTGGAATAAACCAGTGTCAGATGATGCCAATCATCTAGCTTCCTCTAAGGAAATCAAGGCATCACTGAAAAAATATTTTCTGCTTTCTCAGCTTTGTGCCTCTATTGACAAGGTTCTACCATGTATCCGTACATGTTTGTCTACACACTGAGTAGAAATAGAGAATCATGATTAATCATTTCAAGCAGTAGGAACACAAAGAGCTTACTGACAAGCCATTATCAAGATGCACTGCCCCTTTCCATTCCAAACACAGGACTAGACAGAGCAGGTGGCAAAGCGCGACGCTTGCTGAGAGCTATGTGTGCTCATCAGTTTTGGAAGAAATCAACAGCACATGGATTCATCAAAAGATATGGGCTGGAATCTTTTGCTTTTTGGTACTCGAGCAACTTTCAAAAATGTCAAGTGTGAAAGGGCTGTTATGAATGGAAAAGGGCAGGCCAGGTCAAGAAGAAAGGAGAGGCATCCTCTTAGAAGTAAGAGCAGTAACCTACCTTCTGCCAACAGCCAGGCATGGGTAATCCATCTGGGCCCTGTTTCAAACAGAATAAGAACAACTCCTCAGATTCACCAGAAGTGATTACACTGCATAGTTCCTACGCTCAAAAACTTACGATGTGGATTTTTACCTGGATGGTGATTTTGATTATAGCCATCTTTTATCTAATTAGCAACTCCCCAGTATTGCCCAGTGTTAGCTAAATGAAGATAATACAAATGTTTTCCAAAGTGAGTACATACTTTTGAAAATAGCTGTAGCATAGAAAATTCTATACCTAAATTTGAAAAAGCAAATCTCGAAATCAGTCTATAGTTAGACCGTCACAAAAGATATCTGTACTAATCCCCCTAATTTCATTGAAATATATTTCACAATTATCTTCATTAAAAAAAAACCAAAGTAACTTTTCTTCATGGTCACTAAGGATGATGAATGAGTTCATGGTAATGATACTGAATGATACACCATTTTTATCTGAAGTATATAGCTTTTCACAACCAATATGTTTTTATTTTCCTATATTGAAAGCAGATATTGCAAACAGAATTGAAAGATAGGCACCTTACATGTATAGTATAATGTTAGCCATAGCAGTCACCAACTTTTGAAATTTAAGGTCTTCGGAAGTCAGCTAACATTCTGAATATAAAGAGGTTCTTAAATGATGCAAACTTTTAATTTAAACTATAAGCATTCTTCAGATACAAATGATACAAATGAGATAGAAAAGCTGACATAAAATCAAGGCATGCATGTATTCCCCCGCCCCATAAGGTTAAGATGATTGTTCACCAATATCAAACAAAAAAGTAAGACTGGCACTTCCTCTTGAGATTTTCTAACTAGTGCCTGAATAACACTTTTTTCTATAAATGCAATCTCTTAACAGACTTGAAACATATAAATTTACCTTTAAAGAATCATGCTTATAATAGAAGAATCATAAGAACATGCAGATCAAATATAACATAACCATACAAAATTTCTTTATACTTTAGAAACTAAGAATATACTTTTGTAAATGTAAAAATCTTTGAAATAGCTTTATAAGATATGTGGGAAAAATTGGTAATGCCAGATTGGTACAAGGAGAAGGATCAACCAGTAGAATTTTAGATTTTAGTATAAGGAGGATTTTGAGTTCATGCCAATGGAGATGGGGGAGCGGGGGTGCTTTGGGAGAGTGAGTTGCTGAAGGAGAGACCATTGCATCAAAAAGGTTATGTGACAAAGAGGAGGATCTGGGCTGCAGACGATTATCTTTGGTCCTTCAGGAAGTTTGGCTTTCTTCTCTATGGTCTCTCCATAACATTCCCTTGAGCTGGTTAACTACAGATGGCAAAAGTTTAATTCTGTAGGTTTAGCCTTATTTCTTGCCTGGTAAAAGTTTAGTGCAAAAACAGAACAAAACAAAAAGTCCCCCAAACCCACTTTATTCCTCTTAGAGAAAAAGGACAAAAAGAAAAGTTAAACTTGGGAGTAAACCCAAAGGTTATGGCCTGACAGTGCTTTGTGTCAGATATTTTTGTATAATTTTAGTGTCCTAGTAAGTGTTGATTAGATCTCTTACTATTCCAAAGAGCACAGACCTGTTAGTCATGGCAGTGGCGAGGACAAGGTCAGGGGCAAGTCTGCGTTTGTGGGAAGTGCAGGTGTGTTCTCGCCCCCGAGGGAGCCCTCTCATGCACATGCATGCTGTGTGTCCCGCATGTAAAGCCTGCTCAGCGAGAGCAACTTTACACTGACAGATGCGTACAAGTCAACACAGGAAGTGCATGCAGCAGGGTAGGAGAGAGAGATACTGTACCAATTGGCAAGGGGCATCCAGCCCGTCCAAGCCAGGCTGGCCTGGCTCCCCTTTTTCCCCCTTAACGCCACGGAATCCCTGTTTGTAAAGATTAACTCATCATGTTACTAACGCAAGAATTCACTTAGGTACAAGTTCTGCTAAAGAAATAACTAGACCCACACAAGGCTGGGAGAAGAGCAGCTAGGAGGGGAAAAGTGACAGTGACAAGGATCTATGTGTTAAAGCCAGGCCCACTCCCACAAGAAGGGCTGAGCTGGCAGTGGTGGCCCTTGCTTTGGAGGGATGGGGAACCACTGGGCCCTCCCAAGGTGGCAGAGCCAGGGTCCAAGGGCACAGAAGCACTGAGGGCTTAAGGCAGGCAAACCTAGTACCAAAGAGAGGCGTGGCACCCACCAGGACAACCTGAGTTGGCAGCTTCTTAACCTGGAGGCCCACGGTAGGCCCCCCCCCCCCCCCCCCGCTTGGCTGTCGCTGGTCCCCCCTCTTGCTCTTCTCCCATCTCACCCTCACATGCAACATCCAGACACAGCACCGTGAGTTGGACATACCAACGGGCAGGGGGCATCCAATCCGGGGGCACCCTGTTCTCCTTTCTCCCCTTTGGGCCCCTTTTTGCCTTTTTTTCCCTTTTCCCCCTGTGGACGGATACAAGGGTTTAATGAAAGGTTTTTTTTTTTTTTTGGGTGGGAGAAGGAAGGTGATTCAGAAGATGGCTGAGCTAAGAAAAGTCTGAAAGAGCATTTACCACTGCTTGCTGTCTTAGAGAAGGCACCCTGTTAGGAAAAGAACTTACACTCCCGAGGGGCCATGGAGTCCTCCTAGGGGATTTTTATTTAAGATATGTAAACCAAAAGAAAATGACTTTAAAAAGGCTGAAACTTCAGAGAGGCAGACCCTCATTGTGAACTGGGAATTTGTGCTTTGGCTCTGGTGAGTTGACAGGAACCAGCTGTATCAGAGCCAGCCAGTGGCAAGAGGTGTTCTGAGGAATAGGGATACTTTGCCCAATTTTCAATAGTCCTCAACTTGCTTTTTTAAAAAAATTCTGTAACAGATGCAAACGATCTTGAGCCAAAGGAAAAAGAAAGACTATTAGCAGCTTCCCTTTGAAATGTGCCAGATCATATCCTTTTTTTTTTTTTTTTTTTGGTAGCTCTCATTAAAAATTTCAATACACTAAATATGCTTTAAACACTTAAAAATTGAAGGCAAGTAGTAAGTCAGGTAAACGTTCCGAGTGCCAGTGCTGTGTAGCCAAGCCGACTGGAGAAACAAACATTTGCCACCCTTTAGGCTGTCTGATTTCATGCCTCGAGTTCACAGTGGTAAATGAGTTTCCAGATTATCCACAGAGTAACAAAAGCCAAAAAGAAAAAAAAAAAAAAAAACAAAACAAAAAAACAGCCTAGTCAAGAGGAAAAGCCGTTTGGACTTGGTAAAAATGGATAGGCAGGATAATTGCATGGAGGGAGTGGCAATTAGTACGTAGGAATCAAGGTGAAGGTCGTGGGAGCTCTGTGGAGATCACGGGTGCGGGAGCTAAGGAAAGGAGGCAGAAAGAGGAGAAGGGAGGAATGCGCTTCAGCTGCTTCGCATTAACACACATCTTCGTGTATTTATAGCAGGGAGCTGCTCGTGCAGAATCCAAAATTTGAGATACGTATTTAAATGAGTGTATTCATTCTGCAATCAGCATGGCAGTTACAATAAAAATGAATCAGCTCTGAAGCAAAACAACATGAATATTCACAGGCAAAGAGATGTACAGCACAGAAACCTGCGAGATACACATTCAGATTAGTACATTCATTCCGACAGGCTGAGCCAAAGCCCTGCGTTCATCTCCTGTGTGCCAAAAAGATTGCTTCAGAAGGCTCCAAATCAAAAACACTTGGGCTGCTTGAGTATAGGGGAAAAGGAAAGATTCCGTGTGGTTTGGCTGATTACAATTGAAGACAAAGACATGAAAGTCTGGGTGAAAGCAAGGGAGGGCAGGAGGGGCATCAGGAAGTTGCTTCTGACAATCAACATCCTGCCTTAGCCAGTCTCTTTGGTGTCAGGACAGAGACTGATGCAGGCTTGCTTGGGTGGGCTCTTTCCTCCCAGATAGTGGAGGGCTCGTCTTTGAGACGACAGCAGGTGTTCCGGGTGTTACTAAACTAGACTTGGATTTGCTAGTTGATTGTTGAGTCAACTCAGATTAACCACTCAGCTGAACAGAGCTGTCCTAGAAATGCTACTGCGCTAAGCTCTAAACATCACTTTTCTTTTTTGTAGGGAACATCAAGTTTTATGGCAAAGAGATACTGTAAGAAGACCTCATTGTTGATTAATGATTAATTAAAAATGATTAACTGTTATTATTGATCAACATTGCTTTATAACCTCTGGTGATTGCATGGGCAGCACGGTTCTGAGGATGAGCACATGAAATGTTATATAATAGATGTAAGCTGCTCATATTTGGAATCTACTTTTCCCAAATGCAAACTTCTAATCATAGAATCTGTACAGGGCAATACTTTTGTATGAGTGACTAACATTCTGAGGATAAAGTTGTAGCTACAACTATAATAGTGTTGATTTCTTGTTTAAGAGAGTTTAAAAATGAGGAAGTCATGGTTACAAACTTTTGGGAAAGATTTAAGACTCATAAAATCTATTAGGTGAGTATAACTGCATATAAATCTAAAATTACAATCACTTTTTCTGTGAAAGCTTTCATGCACACTTTACCTCAAAACATACTCCATATATTCAGACTTTATTAATTCAGAATTTTTTATGCCTTAGTTTCTTATCTGTGACGTTGGTAATAGCACCAACCCTAGGAAAGTGTTGTGGGGGTTAAAAGATAATTGTATGTAAAGTTCTTGGAAAAGCACTTATGTGCTTGAAATAGGTGACTACATTGGTGGTAAAGGCATATCTTTAGCAGTGGGGGCCAAGTGACATTTAGGACCAAAAACATACACAGCAGGCTTCCTAGCCTCTTTTCTTTGACAAATTTCATTTGGTTTTACTTTCCAACAGCTAAGAATAGCTTCATTGTTCAAGAGAACTGACCAAGCTTTAAAAACAATGTGATGTTAAATAGTTAAGGACATGAATTAATTTGAGAAGAATAATGTTTAAATTGGAATTGTGAGAGCACAATTTTAGCTACTTGAAGATTTTTGTTATTCTGTTATGGCACTGAATTTTCACTGGCTTCTTTTCCTTTGCTGAGTGTAAAAAATTCTTTGATCAATTGGGTCAAATGGTCAAGCAAAGCATGTAGAAGGAGAAAATAGCCAGGAGGAGGAATGAAAAAAATGGTTTTTAAAATCCATAATCTAGATATTTGAGTCATAAAATCATACTGCTGGGTATTGGTTGCTGTATGTTCTGGAGACACTGGGGACCCTGACGTGGAACCCCAAACTGTCTGCTTTAGAAACCTACCTCTATTGTCCCTGAATCTGGCAAAGGCTGGTCCTTGGTCTGTGTAAAGGACTCATTGATCACACTGATTGTCCTATATTTATAAAAATCTAGAAATATAACACGTCTCTTTCTCCTGAGCATGTCGTTAAGATGAATGAGATGCTTGCTTTACAGGGTTAGGTGAGCTCAGCCAAAATACCATTGCAGGTTTGTGTGATGTAATTTTACTTTTATGAAAAATGTTTCAAAACCCTTAGACATGACATATTTCAAAGGCTTGGTTGGTGTCAGGTAGTTGAAGGATTATAGCACGACTAGCTGGGGATGAGAACTTTTCTCCTGCACTAGGTTGTGTGCTTATTTCTGCTGGTGTCGCCTTTGCTGTTTCTCTTTGAAGCCCCCCGGATTCTTTAGATTGGGGATCAGGGTGTTTTTGGAGCACAGGATGGAGATGGACGAGGTATCGCATAGATCACACAATTGGGGCAGCGAAGCAGACAGCACAGGCAGCATCTCTAAAACACATGCAAAAAGGGAGATGTCACCTTCTCCCCCTTTTCTCCTAGGTCACCCTTCTCGCCTCGAGGCCCAGGGAAGCCCTGTGGGTAAAAAGCAAAGCCCAGAAGTCTATTGGTGCACCCAGCAGAATCACATGGGGGAGAAAAGAAACCATCCTAGAGTTTCATTGATTTAAACTCAAGCATAAAACATGACATGTCAAGTCATCTAAAAACTTGGGTAAAACAGTGCTTGGAAGCGACAGTTTTCTAGTCTCTCAGTTACATATATGTAAAAGATTTCTCAGTTTTGTTCCTAAGAAATGTAGAGTCACACAAACACCAGAACACTCATTTGGATGCTGGCAAGTAGACCCGTTTGTGTGCGAAGTCACTTACCTCTGCGCTTTAGTCCTTGATTGTAAAATGGGTTGGCAAGTATCCACCACAATGGTGAATGGGCTCACCCAAAATGCCAATAAAGAGCGACATAACAGACGGACAACAGAAGGGAAGAGATCTTTCTCAAGTGAGAGGAAATCAAGAGATGGAAGCGGATGTGAAAAGGAGTGAAGGTGTCATGTACATGCACTAACTGCACAAGAAACACAATCATCATGTGCTGCAAAAATGTACTAAGGGAAATAATGAAAAATGAAGAGCATAAATACAGAACCAGGCTTGGACATAACAGACACTCAATGAACAAAAACTAATATTTGTTGATATTTGCATAACACAGGATAAGTGATGTCAGTTTCTAGAGGCATTTGCTTTTTATAGAATTACACTAGCACAAAGAAATGTGTGTAGAGGCTTAAGAGGGAAAACGCTGCATAACAGCTTTATAAACGTAATATCCATTCCTTAAGGCTAGCCTGAGAGAGGTGTGTTGATTTTATGTATATTTCATCCATAGGTGGAGTATGCTGATGGTGGAGCCTCCTAAATTTGGGGAAGTATTTTGAATTGCTCGTATCTACTGTCAGTTGTCAATATTATAGAGTATAATTACATTTGCCTTTATCTCTCTGTGTATCTCATGCAAGAGCTAGTGTATTTTATATTGCTGTCTACATGCACAGCAATATATGTTCTATACATGGCTAAATGCACAGAAAAACAAGTGCCTTTGCTGTTCCTGAGGAGACTCTGTTAGGACAGGAAGGTGTTTATTGTGCACGTTACTTACATCAAGACCAGGCTCTCCATCTTTCCCCTGCCAAAGAACCATAGTAGCTACATTAGTGTTCCTAAGTTTCAGAAATAGGGTGTGGTTTCATGTAAGGCTGCCTGGCCATGCAAGACTGGGATTAGAAGAACTACTTTGGGAAGGTGGAAAGTATTCTCTATTGATTAGTACTGCAAACTCCTTTAAATCATGTTGAAGAGACTGTGAGGGTTTCAGGTGAGTCATGAAAATTTTTCTACCATACATGGTGAAGTTGACTGGTAGTTGACTGGAGTTTAAGGTTTGCTAGTCAAGTAAAATGATTGGTTTAAGAGTGAAGCCATAAGCAGACACACTGTTTAGTTGATGTGAGAGCACACCAGCACACAATGAGGACGTGAACCAATGCCATATCAGTAGCTTACTAGTAAGTTCATAAATGTGGAAACTATGTAAAGTTTTACTTTGGCTAGAGGTGCCCCTTACAGATAGCATTACAGGCTCGAAGGTCCTATTTTTCAGCAAGCTTTATAATGATGTTTCCAAAATACAAAAGGAGACACAACACTGTTATACAAAGGTGACAAATTCACCCCTGCAGTGCAGATCACCATGGTGACATCCCTAGCTCATTAGCCCCGAGCCACCCGCAGCTCCCCAGGAGCTGCTAGGATTCTGTTTGACTTTGACATCTATTTCAAAATCAGCTCACCCAAAGTATGTGAAAGTATGTGAAAGGTCATTAGCCTTCATAAAGTGCATGTTTTCTACCCGCCCTATTAAATCAATCCTATCTAAAGCCAAGGTTATGTTCTAGAAATAAGCTTGACACCTCAATTTTATTCTGTGTACCTGAAAATTTCCAGGTGATAAAACACCATCGATATTCTGTGTTTTGAAGATAATTTGTCCTCATGATGATTTGGAAAAGTCAGAAATATGACGGTATGGTAAATACCCATTTCATGTGGAGGATAATTTTTACCAGCAAGAGCAGTTTTTATTAAATGACCCAGGGGAGCAAATAAAGCATGACAAAAGTCATTGTCAACAGAACATCCACACCCACTGGGAGGTACAGTGGCCTTCCAAGGAAAGCCTAGGTCTGAGTGTTCAGTCAGCGGCTCAGTCAGTCAGAGAGGGTGTTGACTGATAGCTGGAATCCTGCTTTCAGGGTGGGGTAGTGTTTATCCTACATATATCTCTGGTACTCTCAATCTCATGAGGTACAAGGAGTAAGTTATGAGTGAGATGAGAGAGTGAAGGGGACCTATCCAGGAGGTGTGTGGCATTAAGCATACTGTAGATAATTTAGTGGGTTGTCCTCTGTGGTGTGATTAGTTGGGCCTACAAAAGAAGGGTTAACCATGGCAGTTGCAGGTCACAGAGGCAGAGGCATGCTTAGAGTGGTGAGTACTTGAGTGAAGGGAAACTCACAGGCAGGCCGTAGGGCCCTCTGGGTCCAGGTTCTCCCATGACTCCTTTTTCTCCCTAAAGACAAAAAGTGGAAAGTCTAATTCATACATGCACATCTATAAGGAATGGCCAAAAAGTATGATGAATGTTTACATTTAGAAAGATTACTGTAAAGGACACTTCACTAGGAATCCTGCCAAAATATCCACCCTTGCTTTGAACATGCTTAGCCTGTCATGCTTGCCACTTTCTGCAGCAGCTCTGGAGTCTGCTTCTGTGAATGTCTTTAGGTGCGCTGTTTCGGTTGCCTAGGTCTGCTGAAGTGATTCAAAATGTTGACCTTTCATGGTCTTTTTGACTTTGGAGAAGAACCAAAGTCATACGGTGCCAGGTCCGGTGAACATGGTGGGTGAGGGCACAGCGTCATGTTTTCAGAAGCTGCCTTCCATTGGACGGCACTCAGCAGCGGAGCATTCATAGCACTTCTGACTGCACCTCATAATTTCAGTGGGACATGGCACTGCTATTTAGGATTTTTTAAATAGGGGTGTGTGTGTGTGTGTGTGTGTGTGTGTGTGTGTGCACATGCACTTGGGGGGAAATGGGAGCCAACAGGGCAGGATCACTGAAGCTGGAGAAGGTCTATATTGAAGCATCTGCCAGGTGGACAGTGGGTCAGGTTTGTAAAATCTCCATAGATTATTTCAACATCACCCCTCCCTCCTCCAGAGAACTTTGGCTTGGTTTTGTTTTTAAAATAAATATGCTGGGGCTCATTTGGATAAATGAATCACTAAAGCACTGATTTTTGAAACCCTGCTTCTAGATTCACCCAGCTCAGCTTGCTAAGGTCGTGCTGTTTCTCTTGCCAGTGGCTGCCTCAGGAGGAGAGACATGGCTCACACTGGGCGCTCTGGGAAAGGTGTTCTCCCACCACAAAGAGGCCTGGGGACATTCTCTGTCTCTCCTCTGTCTCTCCAGGGGTGCTTGCAACCACCACCACCAGCTTGCCGAAGCAGATGACCCAGTACCGATGCCAAGCCTACAGCCACCTTCTGACGGTTTATTGTATGGCATGATTTAAACCGTTTTGAATTTAGGTTCTGTCTGTCAGTGTCCCAGTGGTTCCATCTTAAATACACCTAGGAAGGAAATATTAGCAGAGGTAGATGATGTGTAACTTCTTTTCCTACTGTGAGTAATTCTATGGGATTTTTGAACCTCTCAAACTTAACATGCTGCAAGGTTTGAAGCAGGTTCAAGGCCAGATGAAAGATTCCCCTGCAGCTGGAGCTTCAGGCGCCCACAGCATTGACAACTAATGCCCTGCTGCTCACCAGGGCAGGGAAATGCCTCCTTTCTCTCTGGCCAGTCTCATTTCCTTCAGTGCTTTCCTTTGATGCCCCGAGAAACACTTCTGGGATGCCTCTCTTTGCTGATTCCTACTTCTTTCAAAACTGAAATTTCTTCGAGAGTCTCTAGCTGGCACGGCAATTAACCTTGAGAATCACTCTGTGGTTGGCTCCCTCTGTGAGGCCTTGGCAGGGGCTGACACAGGGTGCGGTTGAGATAGCTGACACCCGGAGCACTTTACACCATGCGCCATGTCACTGAAGCTGGGCTTTCGAACGTTTGCAGCGACTTCATTTGCTCTCCGGGCTAATCCTGCCCGGCCTGAGACCTGATACCCTTGAGAGGCCGTGGTGTAATCGGAAGTAACAGCTGATTTACCCAACGGTAAACCCTCTTGAGCCCGTGGCACTCTGCCAAAAGACTGCCCAAGATTTGCCGCTCCAATTTTAGTACCGGGGCTCAGTTACTTAATGCAATGCTTGAAAGCGCATCTGCTCTGGCCCAGTTGAAGCTCTTAGCTTTTAAATATTTTAATTAAGATGATCCTGAGAAGTTGTTGGTTTGATCTTGGAAACAGGACAGCAGCAGGTTCCATTCAATGTTCTGTCAGGACTCAGCAGGCTCTGTCGTGTGTACACCCTAAGCTACTTGTTCTCCAGGTGGCCTTATTCTCTGCTTATTTCTTTCATTTTTTTTCTCTGTAATTACTGTGAACTCTCATAGGTCAAGGAAGATAGCTGATTTCTTTGCAGCAATAAATGTAAGTATTAAAAAGACTATAAGATAAGGAATCAGTGGTAATGGTGATACTCAATGTGTGGAAGCAAAATAGGTTTAATATAGATGGGAAATTTTCATCTCACACTACAAGGAATACTATGCTTTGCACACAGCAGTATTGGATAAATATTCACTACATGAATGAATTCACTTTATAGGACACAGAAGAAGGGGCTGAAAGGCATATCAAAGAAATCACTATCAAGCCCTTTTAAAATATTCTTAGGCTGATGAAAACCATTGAGCTTAAAAAAGATCATAGACTTGCACAGTGACACATGCCAACTTTGCAAAGCGCTTTCTTGTAGGATACTTTCATTTATATCCTGTCCTGGATGGTGGGGAAATTGATGACACAATTCTATTTAGATACACAAAAAACCTCTGTGTTTTTCAAGGTGAGGAAAAGAAAGGGTGGGAGAAAAACAGACAGAGAGGGAGACAAGTTCCAGACAGAGGACCAGCTGCCGATGTTGTGTGTGTGTGTGTGTGTGTGTGTGTGTGTGTGTGTGTGTGTGTGTTGGACATTCATCTTCCATCCTCAATATTTTTTGGGGTTTTCTCCTAAGGATATGGACGTGTGGCCTAGCCCTAGAAAGGTTAGTGAAAGGTTTTTGTTTTATAAGACACTGAAATTGTTTCCTTATGGCTAAAGAAAAACAGGCCATTCTTTAGCTTAAAAAAAATGGAAGCACGTGTAGCTATGCAGAGAGGAATACGTAGGTTTTGTAATTTCCTTTGGAAAAATGTCATAAGTTACTTTGAATGAATACAGTAGCTTTATATTAAAGATTATCAGCCAGAATATGTAGTCCTGGAAATTGTAGTCCCATTGCCTTTCACCTTCTGGACGAAGGCCAAATGAAAATATCTTCCTTATGGGTTAAGGAAGAAAAATCAGAGCTATTTATTTTATCTATGTAAATAGCATTTGTTTTCATTAAGGTGGTTCTATTTTATTTTGTGCTTAGTGGTTTTCTTCCCTGGGTGTCTGAGGAGCCTGAACAGAATGCAAAATATTGTATTTTCATTTCGTCTTAGGTACTCCTTTTTTTTTCTCTTGAAAAATGACCAGCTCAAATCCAGCTACTGTGGAAAAGCCATGCTGTTTTCTTGAGTACACAGCGTGAGTTCAGTAATCTCTGGGGCCACTTACTCTTTCTCCTTTGGGACCGGCAGGGCCGTGGGGTCCCATAGGACCAGCTGTACCCTAGAAAAAGACAGAAATAATATCAGACCCATGACAAGGGCTGCAGGAAAGGCAGTTATGATTTATCCCGGACTTTTCCTGGTGCATGATGCCTTAGGATGTCAGGGAGACGACATATCTTTATTCTCCATTCTTTTGGTCCAGTGGCTTTTCGAGAAACTCATGCTACAGGGATGAATTATATAACTGCATACTTCAGTGAAGCGTCTACACAAAAAGTCATACATCATGTTGAATTAGAGATTTCCTCCCTGACTACATGGAGCATCTTCACCTGGCCCCTCCACCCTTAACATGAGAAATGTATCTGTCCTTTCTTCCTGCCTCCTAGTCAAGTCCTTCCTCACATTCTCTGCCACCTGGACCAGGCACTCTGAGAAGCCTTGCGTTGCACCATTTAAGTGGCTTGAGTAGTTCTATGAGTAGAAAAAGTAATAAATGAGAGCAGTGTTTAAGAGTTCAACTCAGAATCTGTGAGGCTGTGTTGGGAACAGCAGGGGCTTCTAGGAAAGAAATCGCCCTTCTCGGTTCTATTGCTGTGGCTGGAGTCACTGGCTTGCTCCTTGCAGACCAGGCAACTGGCATGATTTCTTCTTATTTTTAAAAATTATTTATTCATTTATTTGGTATGGAATCTCACTATGCAGCTCAGACTCGTAGTGATCCTTCTGTCTCAGCCTCCCTAGCACTGAGATTACAGGCGTGTGCTATCATGCCTGGTTTTGGTGGTTGGCATGGCATGCCTGGGGTTCTGGGGCTGGCATGGCATGTGGTAGGGCTCTTGAGGCTGCAGAGGTATGTGGAGCGGGGGATCAATCTCAAGACCTTGTGCTTGCCAGGGCGGCGCTTAGGCTGCTGGAGCTATCTCCCCAGCCCTGGCCTGATTTAATGGTACAATTGACTTCTGGCCTCTTGGTTCATCCAGAGCTAGGATTTTGGTAGCAGGAGAGATTCCATTTGAATAAAGACAAGGGACCTTGATGCCCAGTAAAAACATAATCACTGCTTGAAGCAGGGTGTTGGAACTGAAAGCTTGGAATTCCTTTTAGATGATTCAACATGTAGCAAGGATGCCAGGTATACTTGCTCACTTGTCAGGAAGATTTGCAATGGATTGGCAGAGTATAATATTTGCAAATGTAGGAACTATCTCAGCATGATTTTTCTATAGGGTGTCCTTTCTATTCCATGACTCTGGTTTATTCTGTTACAACCTTGTAATATGAAAGAAGGCAAAACTTCAAACTCATCCTAAAGTTAGTAAATTTAATCATCTTCAGTGACATTTCTGACTGCTTCAACTCAAAATATATCTTTAGAAAACTTAAAAATATTGAGTATCTGTAGCTAAAATTGGAGTGATGGTGCTGGGAAGAGCCTGAGCACAGACAAAGGGACAAAAGACAGACAAGTTATTTCCACAAACAGAAACTTGAAAGTTAGTTCCAAAGAAGAGTTATTTTCTAACACGGACATAAATCTAAAAGGACAAGGAAGTTAAAGGACATTTATATTATTTGAACCACTTCAGAGGCCTCTGTCATGGAGTTACAGGGTTGCCAATTATTTTATTGACATGGAAAGGTCTGCCTGGGATGCTAAAACCATGAAGCCAATTACATTGGTCATTTTTCCCACTTAGGAAACTATCCAGACTTGAACTTGGGCTTTGAAGGATGTTCTGGGAGTTTAGTCTGTGCTTCAGATAGAGCCGCAAGCCATTCTGCCACCTGTGCTCTCTTCCACCATCTTTATCCACCTCCCCTGTTGACTCCAGTCCTAGGTGGCAGCTCATCACTGGAAGCCCTTGATCCACAGCCACAAAACATGTCAGAGTAAGACGAGGGACTGACTCACCCGGGATCCTGGCTTTCCGTCTAAGCCAGATGCTCCCTGTGTGATTGGGTTGGTAGCAGGGATGTTGGGTGTGACACGAATGGCAAGAACAGAAATTAGTATGAGGAACCAGAGAACATATGCAACACTTCCAACAACATAATAGGCAGTCACAAGATGCTGGGATGAATATCACATTGCTACATATTGTTAGTTTTAAAAAAACACATGACAATAAACATTCCACAGATGATGGCATTTTAATGACATTTCTATCAGTCAAACTCTTATTTAGAAATCAAGTTAATGAGGTTTATAAAATGGGCTACAAAGTAGTTACTGGTAACAGTAAGAGGCTCCTATCTAATTTCCATGTGAAATTAATTTTCTAGAGACTCATGTATAGGATATTTCATTGGCTTCTGAAGAGAAGATAATGCTGTTCTCCTAAGAAAGGGTTTCATGAAATACGCACATTTAGCATGTTAGAGAGCTAACACAGGGATAGAGGTACACATTTTAAAGGCAGTGTTTGTGAACAACAAATGCTAGATTTTAATGTTGAGATAATATAAACAATATCCAAAATTCATTATTTTCTGAGTTGTTTCTATTGTTCATGTTTGTCACCACTAGAGGGACTTCTAGGAACAGGAAAAAAATGGAGTGGGGGGGGGAGATCTTGTGACCAAAGGAAAAAATAACTCCCAAACTAAATGCTTCCATGAAGTTACTTCAAATAACCTTGGCATTGAAGCCGAAATGGACAAAGCCTTAGAAATCTGTCTTCTCAGGCAATGCATGCTTTTCTTTACCTGGAACTTCAGAAATAGTGTATGATAAAAAAAAAAAATGACATTTTGGATGCTTACAAGGAAGGCTTTTGCATCTTGCAGCCTAAGTGTTTATTTGTCGTAAGGATTAGATATGTTGGCTAGATCAAGCAGTACTTAAGAAGACAGAGCCTCAGACCTCTAGGGTCTCCTGGCAAGGCTGTAGAACTAGTTTCCAGTTTTATGCTTCAGATGTGGTTAATAAAACTAAAGAAAAAATTACCCCAGCTGTAAACTCTGCCAATGAGGCTAGACCATGTCCATTTTGGGTATTTAAAAAAAATTCCTTCTGTAGAATCCCATTATGATCCACACTGTCACAACAAATATGACTTCAGTTAGCAATGCTCGTAGTAAAAAAAATGTGACTTGCTATTATTTGTTTAATGCCACCACAGACAGAGCTTGGCTAAGCATTGCACAATACTATTAATAGTTCAAAATCTAAAATTAGGGGACATATAGAGAAATCATATTAAAATTTTAAATAAAGTAAGAAATTCAAACTTTCTTTTGGCCTTTGATTTATCCATCAGTTGCTACTATTATCATTCATAAATAAATGGAAAAATGGTAATAACCTTATATTGGTATTGTATCATATATACCTGAAATTGTGAACTAAATACTACCTAATGTTATAGAGCTTTTATGCCTATGGCCCATTGATCTAAACAATGTGACTTAACCTTCCTTCTTACAAAGGATACATTTCTTTTACTCAATAAGTCAATACACAGACTACGTCTCCTGTCCACCTGACTGATAAAACCCTGGGCTCACAGATGGAATACGTTAGAATTTTAAGCAAAGTATCTTTGAGAAAAATGGAACAATTATTCATCATCTTTTTCCTTCTACATTTTAAATATATGTAAAGACTATTTTCTATCACTGATTTTATGTCCTAGTTCACTAATGAAGCGACAAGGCTTTTTCTTTTTCTTTTTCTTTCTTTTTTTTTTTTTACCTGCATTCACTGGCTAAGAAGTATATTAAGAGTTGAAACTAAAGCCTCAGGTGCGATACTCCTTTTAAGGCTTTTAGTTGTTGCAGGAAGAAGGTTGACATAAAGTACATGAAAGGGAAAGTCCTTTTCTTACTAAAAATGAAATCTCAAAACAAATGAAAATCCTTCTTCCACACTGCCCATGTTGCCACAAGAACTTCATGATAGGGAATTTCCCAAACGAACGACATACAACATGTAGAACACCATGTGACTGATTAATGTCAGGGACCACAGCACTGAGCTCAGGCTACTGACAACGGCCAATTGCATACCTGCCACCAACCGAGGGCTACAATTTTTGGTAGCTGAGGAGAAGAGAGTTGAGGGAGGCTCCTACTCTGCACTATATTATGAAAGCATTGTGAGGATTTGTGAGTTAATGGGTGGTGCACACTTTAGAGGACAATAGTGGGATGACTGTCAGCCCAGAAAGAGGAGGGTTGGCACGTATGCAAGTGGAGAATGACAGGACATTTACGGTATTGTTGCGGGGTCATCCTCTGCCACCAAGGCAGAGATCAGAGAAACCAAAACTGGGCTGAGCTCTGCTTTGACATGGTATGTTTCCAGATTACAGGAATCTCCACAGTAAGATAGCTACTGAGTAAACCAGAGTTGTTACTTAGGGTAGAAAGAAAAATCTCAGTTTGCACTGAAATGGAAAGTTTTCTTTACTTACTGGAAGACCAAGGGGTCCTCTGTCACCCTTTTGACCTGGTTCACCCTTCAATCCTTTAACACCATTTAACCCTGGTTCACCCTAAATGCAAAAGCAAATGCCAATTGTGGTTGCTATTATGGGTGTTTAAACTGTGAGAGAAGAGAGCCAGTCTCTGAAATCATTGCATATCCCAGTCTTTGGTAACAGCAGAGTCAGGCTAGATCTGTCGTGCATCAGTTCAAGAATTAATGAAATATTTTAAGTGAATAAACTGACACGGAGAACAGAAAACTATTCTAGAAAGCAAAGTTCCCCAGAAAGTGTGTTCCTTTCCATCAAAAGATGCAGGGCTGGGCTCCTGAAGCTTTGTGCTTCATTACGGAAATGAGTGTGGATGCTGTTGTTGTATCTACACTGTTTGGATCAGGCAAGCCAAAGACAATCAGGACAAGGCGGCTCCATCAGAAAGGCCCACTCTGCTGGAATGAAGAACTGGAATATGCAGGACAAGGTTATAGACAGATATTTTAAGCCTTTAAGCATTTTGCTCAGGGGAATGAGCTCACATGTAGCAGCTGATGTTTGAAGTGGTGCCATTCGGCAAGTCCCCCCTCACCGCCACTGCCGAGTCAGTTCCCTACATGGATTAATCAGTAGAGTAGACAACAAATCATTCCTCCCAAAGGAAGTATGAAGATCAAAAGACCTGAGCGTAGTTTTAGTTTTACTAACTGCTCATCTCCTTGATGCAAGAATCAAGTCAGTACGAATTTAACTCAAGGTGACATTACAAAAGTCAGGTAAGTGGTGAATTCTCTTGACTCACTTTTGCAGAAACCCAGGAACACAGTGTATCCCTTTTCCATCAGAAACATGTCAGAGGCAAAGAAAGTTCTGACCATATAATTTTCAGTGTTTAAGTATAGATGTTAATTTGTCAAGAAAACCTTGAAAATTTGTGAAGATTTCAGACTAGGGGAGAGGTCATGTTCACCCCTGCAGAGGGATTTGTATTTGCCTGGTGTGGTATTTGTTAAGCATAGAGGGTCCAAGCCCCTTCTGGACCACAGTAGCACAGGGATGGATATCTTTATCACCTCCTGGAGGAATGTACTCTTGGGACCTTATGGGAAACTGAGTAAGGTTTAGCCCTGTTATTTATATATTTGAACCTTCAAAGGGTGACAAAACCATGAGAACTTTGGCATGACAGTGGATTTTCAAAGACAGGCATTGTGGTGCTGGCATAACAGGAAATCTAAGTGTGTGACAGTTGCTAAGTGTGGTTCTGGGAGTGTCACAGTCACATTCAGTGTGGGTCTGAGGCCTCAGGCACCCAGTGTCAACTGGAGATCATGGCTTTGCACTCCTGGCAAGCGGTCTTGGGTTGATGAACAGACAAGAGAGCATGCGAGGCTGGGCGAGTCCTTGGTGCGGTGCCACGCGTTGACAGGACTGGGCATTACAGAAGAAGGTCAGATGAAAAACAGTCAAAGCCAGTAGCAAAAAGAACAAATTCTTGCCCCAGAGCTATCAGTCATTATCTGGCTATGATTTGGGGCAAATAAGCTTCCTGGGCTTGTAGTTTATCAACTGTAAAATCAAGGAACTAGCACAGGTCATCTGTGAAGTCCTCTCCATTTTGTAATTTTTCCAATATCAATGATTTAAATGGGAACAAAATCATTTGATTTTACACATCAAGATTTTGGACATCTTCTTCTTTGATGGTGATGGCACATTGGAATCACTCATGGAATTAAAAAAAAAGTCCTGGTGGTTTCACTTTTAGTTATTATCACCAGGCTGATGTCTGGTGGCATCTTCAGATTCAAAGAGCAGCTAAAAGTGGGAAACAGATTTAGTTCAAGGTGAGGAAAAAGGCATGGAGAGGTTAAGTAACTACCAGGATCATAAGCGGAAAGTGATCTCTTCTGACCCTCAGCACAGTACAGGCCTTTAATATTCTGACTCTGGCCTTCGGAGAAGGTAAGATGTTATAAGAAACAAAAAGGCATGGACTTCTCTCATTGAAAAAGTCCTTACCGGACCCTGAAAAGGAAACTCAGAGCTACATGATTATGACCAGACCCTGCTGCACCCTCTAAGCTGGGGTTGCCCCTGGCCTTCCTGATGCCTACTACCAACAACACTGTCTCTCTCCTTCTTTTAAAAGCACCAATTCATGGTGCAGAATCTTCAGGAGTCTATGAACTTTTTCTCAAGGGGTGTTATGGATGAGCTATCTTGATATTTTCTATTCAGAGCAAAGCATCAATGTAGAAGATGACAATAGCAACTGACACTTACAGAGTGTTTATCAACAATTGCACCAGAGATTTTTCTGAGTTTCATAAATGGACCTCTGAACATCACAGAAACTTTAAGTTCCTAGTCATGTAAATGAAGAATAAGAGTGTGTCAGTGATCTTCCAAGGTGACAAAACTTGTCAAAGGCAAACCTGAGATCAGAATACAGGTCCTCACCACCTGCACTGCCTGGGAGGCAGAGCGTGTATTTTAGGGCTAATTTTACTCCTCTAGGATGTCTTTGAGGTTGATCCAAAGGTAAAGACTTCTTCCCAGTGCAAGCTGCATTAATTCTGACAGGATAGAGCTTTTCTCCACCAATTTCTTTTAAGTCAAAGTGTATGAAATGCAGGTAATTATGGGATCCTTCTAGTAGGATATACCTGGGACCAAAACCAAGAGGCTGCCTTGCACAGCCACCCCAGGATATTGGTGCTATGCACAGCCAAGGATTTCAATTCATAACATCACACCGAGCTGGACCTACCCTGAGAATGTCATCAGTTGACTTCTGAATGGTTGACCTTAGTATATTATAGCCAATAATTTAGAAAACATACATAGTAACCCAAAAAAGCAAAATGAGGAAGAATTTGTTTCCAAGGGCAATCACTTAAATTTGTTGTAAGGCATGGTGTACTGTGAGATTTAAATACTTAGATGCTTAAAGGCTTAAAGAGCATCAACATTACTTGACAAATAAAGGAGGCAGGACAGACATGCTTCTGACGCCCTTCCCCATGATGGTCACAGTCAGGGGATTTGTTGGATTACCTTGGGTCCAGGAAGTCCATGGGGTCCCTGCAGATGGAAAACACACAGATTTTAATTGAGAATTAGTTTGTTGTTTCCCAGTAGAAATGAATTTTATATCAAGTAACAAAAGAGATGTAAGCCAGAATCTTGCTGAGCCATAGCCAGGGGCGGGCCATTGGGTATTACTGACTACCTATCCAAGTCCCTTCCCACTTTTCAACACTCAGCAGTAGAAAATTCATTAAGAACAATTCTGTCTGCTAAATACCAATGAACAAAAGGGGGAAATCCACCAGGGTTACATGGAAGAGAAAATAGGAAAAAAACTATTATGAAATGACATTGATCTCAAATTTTCATTTTAATCTGGTAGAATATTTGAGCTATTCTATGGACTTATATGGAATAGAGATAGGACACAAAAGCCCGAACATTTCTGAAGAGAAAGAAGCCCAACACCTCAAGTGCCAGGAAGAGCCAAAACCTTAGATTTAGATTTAGAAAGGGGTGGGGGCTAAACATTATTTAGGTTACATTTATCTCACAAAGATAAACTCTTTAAAGTCCTAACAATTGTTTACCAATAGAGGTCAATGAATACATGAATCAGGGTAAAAATATCATCATTGAAAATCTAAATATAGAAACTAATTATCAAATTAACTGTACAGTTCTTTAAAAGTTGCAAGTGAGGGGGCCGGGGAGATGGCTCAGTAGAATAAGCACTTCCTTGGCAAGCAAAAGGGCCTGAGTTCAATCCCTGAATCCGCAAAAAAAAAAAAAAAAAGTTGCAAGTGATTTAAATAAATATTCGGGGAGAAAATCACTTAAATAGGCAACACTGACAACAGCAGAAAAAATTTTGATTAAGCTGTGCCTAGATATTTATTTATATATTTCTACATTAGAATTGTATTTTCCTTTTAGATAAGTTGTGGAGAAATGTTTTCATGAAGTGGCTGCTATGTTATCAGGTATTCTTATCTCATTTTATTGATGATTTAAAATTCTTTTAAACTAATTTTATCATATGAACAGGATGCAAAATTTTTTAATTTAACCTTGAAACAAAGTGGAGGGAGCCTAAAAAAGCCATAAGTATGACATTTCTAAATTCCTAATGAACTATTTGGCTTTATGAAAACAAGAAACACAAATGGTCAATATACACATGAGGAAATGCTCACCACTACTGGCTATTAAAGAAAGGCAAATGAAAATAAGCCTGACATTCCATTTTAGCCCATAAGGAATGGTTAGTGTCAAGAAATGAAATCATAACAAATGCTAGAGAGGCTGTGGGAAAGAGGAATCCTCTGTTGTTGTTGCTGGGAACGTAAATTAGTACAATCCTTATGAAAATCAGCATGGAGATTCCTCCCAAAACTAAAACTAGACACTCCACTTGACTTAGTTATTCCCTTTGTACTTGTCTGCCCAAAAGAGTTAAAGACATCCTAATACAGTGGTCCACGCATACTCACATTTATGGCAGCGCAACCCCTACTAGCTAGATCTTGGAAGTGGCCTGCATGTCCATCCTCAGATGAGAGGATAAAGAGAATGTGGAGTATTACTCTGATACAATGAAAGATAATGTTGATTCATTTGTAGGAAGATGGATGCATCTTGAGATAATAATGTTAAGTGAAATAAATCAGACACACAAGCTTCAATATCACATTATTTCCCTTCTATGAGATCCAAAGTGTAAAGAGCTAATTAAGAGGCAACAGGAATCAGGGAGCTAGATTGTTCTCATGTGGGAATGGGATCAAGCGATGGAGGGTGGAGGGGAAAAGGTGGGAGGTGAGAAAAGGCATGAAGATGTGCTATATCCATGCACCAGCTCCACACAAGGAATATAAGCACTATGTGCTGCACAAGTGGACTGATAGAAAAACAAAGCAAACAAGGTCAATTGTAGTTGTGCTGTGCTGTGAAATACCAATGGTGTGGATGACTGTGGCTTGGATCATTTCAACGATGCTGCCTTTAGAGCATGGGAGGAGAGGAGGGTGAACACTACTTAACCTGTAGTTTTGTGTCTTTGGGTTGCAGAGACACCTTCAAGTTGTATATAGCCTTAGAGACTGCCTCTCCTGCCCTGCCCTTGCCTCATCAAGGTGTTTGAAGTACTCTGCCTTCTACCTCCTAGTCTGGATGCCTCTGTTATTAGTATAACATTGAGAATGACACTTGTTTGATGATCTCCTTCCTTACTGGACCTAAGTCCTCTGAGGCCAGAGCTGTCTCCATTGGTCGCTGCAAGACCCCTATGGCCACACTGGGCCTGGCTCAGGAAATCATCACAAGTACCCAAACCATGAAGGACAAGAGCTGTCCGTCTGCCCTCTGTGGACATATACTTCATCTTTCATCACACTATTTCATGGACACTTCATTCAAGAGTCTCAAGTCTTAAAGATAGCTAGAAGCATTCTTTAGTGGCCCCGGTTATTGCCTTAATTTGCTGCAAAGAGACTGGAGCAACGACTGGTTAAGCCGATTTGATGATGTTCATGCTGTGAGGTTGGAGTACAGCTTGCTGGATCTGTCTGTCTTTCCTCAACTCTTCTATCACAAAGCTACTCTGCCTCCCAGACATGTGCTCAGGAAGTGAACACCACCATCAGGTCTGTACATCTCAGAGCACCTCACATTTTCTGTCCATTCCCTGGAGAGTAGTGCAAAGTGCTTGCTGGCTCTTCAAAGGGATGCATTCATGCTTTGTCTATGGCGTACTCATAAATAAACAAGTATATCAGGAAGGGATGGGAAACTTACCATGGGGCCAGGTGGACCGTGGGGGCCTGGGGGGCCCGGCGGGCCTATGATCTGTGTATCCAAAAAACAAACACGGATTTAGTTACTTCATTTAGATAAGGCAGGTCAGCCAGGGTCGTATCATGCTTGGTTCTGCTAAGGCCATTAACAGCTGCAGAGAAGGAAAGCACTGCAGGAAGTGATGTTTGATTCTCTAGGTTTAGAAATTCCTTTATGAAAACACAATAGCTTAAAAAAATACAGTTGTACAAATGCACAAATAAATCAAATGTACATTAAAAGGAAAGAAGCAAAAACTCACTACCAAGAAATGCTATGCCACAACCACCAAGAAACTCAAATATTTCACTGTGTGCAGACAGGGAGCTGGAGAAAAGACAGAAGTTGTATTTTTTCACAAAACTCTACCCACGAGGACTGTGAGCAAACCATTGACTTTTGTTTTCCTCTTGGGGTCTGACAGTCCTGTGAAAGACTGCTTCTTAGACTACTAAGCCACGCCATCTCCTTAGGCTAAGGCGGTTGGTGTTTCTTTTACAGCTGAAAAATGCAGCAGTTCTATCTCTGCTGTTGGCGAGTGCGTGGCACAGGTGGATTTAGGGAGTCAGAACTCTGCTCAGTGTGGCTCAGCGGCTGTGCACACCCAGCCTGGGGACTTACAGAAGGACCTTGCGGGCCTGGTAATCCGGAGTCACCCTTTTCTCCTTTCACACCGTTGGCACCCTACGAAGAGCAAGTAAGAAGGGGCAAGTAGGCAAAGTGAGCTCCAACAAGGAAGGGACAGTTGAGTGCCTCTCAAGCCCACCATTCTCTTGACATTTAATATTATACACATGATATATAAAAGGAGGACTTTTCTCCTTTTATTTTAGCTTACAGACATATCCAGGATTATGAGTTATATACAAAATAAAATATAAAGTTGATAAAAACTAGATAGGGTCTGATTAGACAAAAACTTATGTAATATTAACTATATTGTGTTATAAATTATCTTTTATGGTGGACTCATTTCAAATAGCAAAGGTGAACCTTTTAAATTAGTTTCCATGGACATTTATTTATATGCTTTCTTTTAAAAAAGATGTAGGGCAGGTAAGTTCGCTACATCTTTAACAATAGCTTCTATATTTCCCCTGCAAAGTTTCAGCAAAAATTATGGGGAAATCATAAAAGCTCTGTCTGATAGTATAATTCACACGAGGCACACACCCTGGAGAGTAACTTGTATTTAATTGTTCTATATTTTTTGACTGACATTTTTTGGGTTATTTTATCATGATCAGTCACCCTGATATTATGTGTACTATACCAAAGTGAGCAATTATATTTATATTAGCATCTTTTAATGAAAACAATTCAGGAAAGCATGAAGAAGATTTGCTTTCTAATGCATTTGCCTATATGCTTTTGCATTTTAGTTCCCTAGATGGGGTAACTAGCCAATAATGCTTCAAATTGAACAAAATAAAACTGCAGTAGGAATCGTTGATTGAGCGTTCAGTTAATAATTCTTATGTAGTTTTACTTTGTCTTAAAAAGAACATATCCTAAGAAGTATAAACATACCGGTAATCCAGGAAGTCCAATTCCTCCTTTTTCACCTGGCATACCTGGGTCTCCTGTGTCACCCTTAGAGCCCTTGAGCCCCTACAAATGACAAGATTTGGAGGTACAAAGCATAGTGACACCCAGGAGTTACATCACATGAAAAGAGAATGCAGATCAACTTTGTCAGCAGGTAGATCGAATGCTACGATGACTCCATTTTCATTTTTAGGTAGAGTTGTTTCTCACAAGACCTGCACTGAATCAATGCTGCATCCCCATGTAAAGGAAGAGATTTAAATTCTACTAAGCCATTTAAACATGAAAAACATGAACTCAGGTTTTGCCATCCTTTCCCCTGATTTCATACATGTTACTGGCAGCCAACTCTATCTCATCAGTCCTGGAAATCATTTGGTGGCTCGTATTCTCACAGTACAGTGTACAATTTGAATGAGAATCTAGTGTTATAACAAAGCTCTCCCATCTCTGCCCACCTATTCTTCTCTTCTAACCACACTCAGAACTCCAGTCATCAGTTTTCAGTGGTCCAGGCACTGGACAGGTAAATCATTTACTGTACACTAGTGCTCCACGAGCCTTAAAACACTTCAACTTCTCCACAGCGTTCTTGTGTTAACAGCTATATGAGGTGAGCTAGACCACTATTTTTATTCTTCTTTTGGAGTGAGGAATTGGATAAATGTACACTTGCAGTGTTAACAGTTCTGAACCACCTAACCCAAGTACTGACACTGAACTTATTAGTAATAAGTATTTTTACCCTAGGGATCTCAGTCAGTTTGACCAGCTAGTTCACCCTGCAGAGAAGATGATCAGGCCTGAGGCTGCACAAACCTACTGGCCTCCTGAGGGACAGGAACACATCTATGCTTGTGAAGTATATCTATCTTGAGCACCAAGTTCAGAATCACACAGTGGGTGGGAGAGTGGGCTGGTGCCTGATTGGATGAGTGAGTCTTATGGGTTAATTGGACATGAGTGATGGAGACAGGCAACATGGTCAACCCCAGGAACCAAAGCTTGTAGAAAAAAACACAACTATTGTATATGTAGGACTATGTAGCAGCATATTATTATGCATATCAACTTATTTATAATAATGACAGTGGGAGAAGCTACACAGCCAGAGTTTTAAATCCTAAGGTGATCTCTCAATATAGCAAATCATTACTTTTTTAATACTTTTCTGTAGTGTGGCATATGACTTCAACATACAACTCTGATATTAACAATAATACTTCTCTTTCACAGAATCTATTGTACTTGTAGCTTTTATTTACTCTTTCTTTTATCTTATTTAGCCTTTCAGATTTTATTTGTTCTTTTATTTACTCTTTATATGCTCTGTAAAGAGTGTAAACCCTATGTTTACACATGCAGGTCTGACTTATTTCACTTACAAGTATGGTCTCTAGTTGCATCCATTTGCCTGTAAAAAAGTCTCCAGTTTATTAATTTTTTTTTTACAGCCAAGTAGTAGGAAAAGAGACTTCTCAAAGGGATGGAGCAATTGGAATAAGTGAAAAGAGAAAAGAAAGAAAACAAGAAAGAAAAAGAAATATATATGTATATACACAAGATAGCTTAGATAATTGTACTGCTGATTTCTGTTGATCTATTGAAAGGAACAGTTAAATACTTAAAATTTTTTGACCAATTTTGTATGCTTATATCTGGTAATCCAAACAACTAATTTGAAGACAACAATATGTAGTATAACAACCATTGTTGAATTCCTATCATTTTGTTTAGTGGAATTGTGTACTGTTTGTATTTTTCTTTTATTTTTTTTAATTCTCTTTAAAAAATTGCACTTCTCATAAACTTCATTTCATCATGAGGAATGTATGCTCACTGGCTGCATCGAGAATGTCCTTGTAGCTAGGCCTGGTGGTGCAGGCCTATAATCCCAGGTCTCTGGGAGGCTGAGACACAAACACAAGCTCCGGCCCAGCCCGAGCAACTTGGTGAGATCCTGCTCAAAATAAAAAATAAGAAAAGGACTGGGGATATAGCTCAGTGTGAAGGGTTCTGAATTCAATTCCTAGAGCCGGAAAAAGAAGTGGAACCTCTTTGATTTCTTATAAGTGCTGTGATTTTAGCCATTTCTTGTGTAAATAATAGAAGCTCAGAAAACACGGAAGCCCTTTCAATTAACCCCTTTTATTTGATTCTAAATGCCCACTCCCTCTTAGGAAGAATCTTAAAGAAGTCACCCAAAGCGCAGCAGCTGCCCCACAGCAGCCTCGAGACTGTCTTTGCATAGCCAAATTTCTAGCACATGTTAAAAGGGGGCACGAGAGAGAATGCCTACCATGCAAAGCCCAGGCTCTTTCCTTTCAGACTCTATCTACTGCACGAGCGTGTGAGCCTCTGCCTTCGAGGAACCCTACCCTACCCTAGGATTTTCACTGGCCCCCTTGCTTCTGTCTTTTCTCAGGATGTAGGAAATCATGATCTTTGCTCGGGAAAGAAAACATTGCCAAAATACATGTAAACAGTCACTTATTTTTCAGTAACTATGGTCACTGGCTTCAATCTTGAATCATTCATACTCATTGACAAAAGCCAGGCTTTTCTTCCTAAATTGGTGAAAATGTTGCAGATCTATTAAAAAGGTGCAGAAGAGTCACTGGTTGATTGGTGGAGGATATTGAGAACAAAATTTTTATTTATAATTTTGCAGATAAAAACTACAATCTCACTTAAAACCAAATGCTTTGTTGAGTTCATGTGGCTTCTAGAACAGATGGTAGAAAAGAAAGAGGATATCATATATCAATATCCAGGCATGACATTTTGGCTTCAAACCTAGAGTAAAAGTAGCATCCATCATGATATTTTAAATGAGTAAAGATATCATGTCTGCATCTTGTACTATGAATGACTACTATGAAGAAAACAATATGCAATGCATTAATTATTGTAACTGTCCTACTAACTTATTTTGAAACTGTCTCATTGCTATTTCTTTCTTAATAAAATTAATTTTTAAAAAAGAGTATATAGGCTTGAAAATTACCTGTTCTCCATCAGCTCCTGGGGTTCCTGGAGATCCTGGCTCACCCTGTTAAGATACAAACAATAGCTTGCTTCCATTTGTTATAGCTACCATAATGCACTAAAGAAAAATAATGCTAATTGGTTAAAGGCACAATTTGAGTTTTAACAACTGCCCAAGAGTATCCCTATAGGACTTGTCCTCACTAAGCACACTGGGATCATCCTCCTTCATGGTTATGTATTAAGGAGACTTGTAAGTAGCTAAGATGAATTCAGGGCTTTTATTTTTTTCCTCCATGTGAGAGGCAGGCTAAAAAAATGGTATAAGAAAACTGCTAAAAAGAACTGCATCACTGATCATATCCTCAAGCAGTGCTGACTGACTCAAGTTAGTTACTTTTTTCTTCCATTTTTTTCTTATTTTTAGTAAAAAGTAAATTAAGAATGAAATTCAAGACCTTGGCAATTTATAGCAATATTTTAACTGGCACAGTTTGAACAAATTTGTAATGATTATAAGTGTACTGTGTCCAGAAAAGACTCACTGCAGGATATAATAAATCAGATAATATCTTAATCCACAAAAATTACTTTTGATCAATTCAATTTCCTATACTATGCTAGGAATGGAAATAAAATTTATTGTGTCCATTATGATTTATTGAACTTAGACAAACTCAGAACATCTCAATTTTTAAAAACTAAGACGTGCCATTAAAAACAAATTTAAACAATATGCTAGAGATTATTCAAACAACACATAGCTAGTCACCTTTGTTTTAAAAAGTGCTGAACAAACAAATTCCTTGCAAGGGAAGGCATAACTTTATATCAATATCAACGAGCACTTGTATGGACCCCATTACAAATATCCCTGATTCCCAAACTGGAAAATTAAAAAACAGTTCTAAGTGTGAGAGATTTCCAAGGGAGATGACTTTTGGTGTACTTTGTAGAGTTGTATATCCTAGAACAGCTTCTTGGTGATGTTATAAACAGTGTTGAAACAGTTAAAGCTCCTTTCCCTGATAAAAAATCTTTAAGAGCCATGGGCCACAGTGTGAAATTGAAGCTTCCCAATATTTAAGGAAGGCATGATCTTGTCACTGTAGACAAATGAAATGAACAGGGGGCAGGACTGTCCTCATTTCCTGCAGTAAATATTATTATTATTTTTTAGTCTTTTTATTTATTGTTTGGTACAGAGTCTCACTACACAGCTCAGACTTGTAGTGATCCTCCTGTCTCAGCCTCCCCACAACTGTGTTACACGTGTGCACCACCACACCCAGGTTCAGTGGCCAGCATGGTGTTCCTGGGACCCATGTAACATGTGGTACCAGGTAGTAAGTATGGGTCTTTGTGCTGGCCACGCAGATGCTTAGACTGCTCAGCTATCTCCTCAGCCCAGTAAACATTATTTTACTGCAGGCAGATCTGCTGGTATCAGAGGCACCTGGCGTGGCCCTCTCTGTATTCAGACTAAATACCTAGCAGTCCTCAGGCCAGGCGGGATTGTTTTGCAAGGCTTATAGCTTTAAAATGTGGCCCATGGATACTTAAAAGACCAGCACAATTCATACCTGCCTTAGTATCCCTCCTTTAGCCCTGGATGTGGTTTGTGAGCTGTTATTTGATGCATAAGAAATCAAATGATTTTTATTTGATAAAGGAGAGAAAAATACTGATTGAACAGCTTCACTTTGGTCTGAGAAGGAGACCACAGAGGACACGTCGGACCCTTGATCTATGTCTGTTTTGCTGTCTCTTATTTACAGCTGCATCCCATCCAAAGTATCCCGACCTTCTCCAGGAGGCATGAGGGCACGTGGAAAGGACTGCGTTTGAGAACACACAAGCTCAATTCCAAGTGTACATGTGTGGAGCGGAGGGGGACGGTAGGGTGGGAGAGGACCAGCCCTTCCTGTCACCACCATCTAGACATTCCCCTGGCCTTTCCTCACATCTCTCTGTTCATCCCAAAGCCATCCTGAACTCCAGGCTTCCTATGCGACCTGCACCCATGCTCTTAGCCAAAGCTCTCCACTCAGGGCTATGTCCTCTCAGGGCCTGTCTCCCTCACTAGGCTGAAAGCTCTTTGGTGAAATGCTTTATTGATCCCCTTACTAGATTTTTGCCCTCGTCAAAGCAGAGGATCAAAAATTACTTACTGAAAAAATAAGTGAATACTACTTTAGTAGTAAGTTTTAGTGATGTCTTTTCAGCAAGCTGGCCTTTCTTTTGGGCTTCTGTAGGTGCAGGAGCGACAGAGTAAAGGTTTGAGATGTTGCACAAAAAGGGAGATGTGTTTGGCTTTCTTGATAGTTGGTTAAATGAGGTGGTGAAGCAGAGAACTTAGCCCCTACTTAACTCTTCCCAAAGAAGCCTGGAATAATTGAATAATTAAAGACCAGGGATCCAGACCCCCTTGTTTGTCAGACACAAGGACTTGTGACTACAGCATATTTTACATTAAATCTCTTCTCAACTAGAAGAGGGTGCAGGAATAGAAAGTTAAAAATCCCACACCTTCCCTTAATGTTATACATAAAATTGTTTGTAGCCAGAATCTGCATTCTAGATATGTCTTTCACAGGCAAAGGTCTCAGGAGGACCATGTTTTATATTCCTGTAATAGAAAAACAAAGTTTTCAGTACACCCGACTTCTAAGCACCTAGAACAAGAAGAGGATAAAAGCTGCTGTGTGCGTGTGTGTGTGCAGGACAAGCTTAGCAAATAAACTGGCTCACATGGCATAAATGAAGGGTGAAGTTTTGAAACCACTTGAATCTTCTACAGGAATCCAATGACGAAAGTCATATTTCAACATGTGTAGCTCAGTTCTGAAGAGCCAGCCTCCCTGGCCATGTGTTAATTGATCAAGCATGGTTGAATGACTAACCCTCAGAGTGGAGGGACCAAGTGAAAAACCATCAACAGAATTCACTGACAAGTCTAGGTTTCTACTGTTGATAGTTGGTATGTTTCATGACCTACAGATGAAGTGGCAGAATATCTGAACATCAATAATTAAAGAATGTGCTGTAAAATAATACTCAAAAGCAGTTCCTAAAATTGTGATTTATGAATGCTTCAGGCATGAAAGCTCCACTTTTTTTTTATTACAAAAGAATTGGAAGCAATTTTCTGAGTGTCAAGTAGATCGCCTTTGATCCTCTTCTCCCTAAAAACTGTCTTTTTTCCTACACCACAGTTAGTATTTCTTTAAATTTATAATTTCGGTTGAACCTGGTTTTCCTCTTGTTTGATATCTTCTAGTTTTCAATGTCCTTCCCTAAATTCAATTTCCGTTTCTCTGCCTTCTTTCCTAGACTTCCTTCCTAGTTTTCCCCTCATCCTTCATCTCCATTTCTTTCCTTCTTCTCCTAAGCTCTGCTGCTGATCTTGCTTCTCTAGCGTCGTCTGGGCCAGAACTTTTACAAACACAGCTACTTCCCATGGGCTTCTGTGCACTGTATATGATGGCAGGGAAACAAACAAACAAAGAATAACCTTTGGCCCTTGTAGTCCTTGAGGTCCAGGAGGCCCAGGGGGACCCTGAATGAAGAAAAGAACAGTTATAAGAAGTGCCAAGTATGTGTGTTGAAGTTCATGCTTTACGTAATAAGCATACTACACACCTCCAATATGTCTATCATACTCAGATACCTCCCATTACTGATTTGTAAAGAGAAACATTTCACAGGCTAATTATGAAAACTATATACTTACATGCTAAAATATAAACACAAATTATGTCAAAATGTTACAAAAATGCTTTTTACTGGTTCTGTAAGGCAGCTCATAATGGCCACCAGGCTCCTCGCACATCTCCTGGGATGAGCCAGGATGTTCTAACCATCAGCCTCCCAGTAGTTCCTGTGTTCCTAGACACACCGAACCTCTCCACCCCATGGCTTTTGATTTCCCAAATCCTAAACAACAAAGCTATAATAGTATAAGAAGGCCAAAAACTTCTAAGAAAAATGAATAGTGACTTTTTTCTTGACTTTTTAATGAAACAATGAGATTCAGCTGGGGCAAATGTTGCAAAGGTTTATTAATATAAGGAAACATTTAATATCAGATAATTGCATATCAGCACCATGTCCGCCTGCATGCATCAACACAAACACAAAGGCACAAACAGCAGAAACCATGCAATAGGAGTTACCGTGACAGTTAAGGTAGTAATCCTCTGTTGGGAAAATGTTTGGACAAAGATAGAGTTATCTATTTTGTCTACCAAAGTACAATCATATATTTCTGAAAAAAATTGACTTTCTGAATATATTCTATTAAGTCTGATATCCTATAAGGAACTGAAAAGATGCTGAGGACATTTTCTTCTATCTTCAATGCAGCAAACATGTTTTAAAATTATTTTTAGATTTTTATTTACAATCATCTTTAGACTTTTATTTAAAATTATCTCTAGAATTTTATTTTTCCTCACCTTGATGGGGAGAAATATATCAAATTTAAATTTACCTGGTTAAAATTGTGTTGGACAGTTGGATGCACTAGAGGTTTGCCAGTGTAGTTATGGACTGAGAAATTTGCTATTGATGAAAGTTCTACTCTAGGTGGCACTCTGACCAGAGAAAATGAACATGTCTCAATTGCATGTCTCTTCATCTTTTGCCCTTTGGACTCATTGGCTGAATTATAGCTAACTTTTTTTTTTGTATGTGTGCTGAACAAAGTGAATGGACATTGAAGAGACCCAGTTTCCTTAAGTGCTACGTTACTTTAACCAAAACGTGTGCTCTTGAATATGAATGTGTAAAACATGATTCTAATCCATGAGTCATGTTTCTCTATTAATACTTCCTAGTTAGGTCCTGTGTCAAAAGCTCTAAGGGATCTGCCAGCAACTTTGACTCCATAGATGAGAGGATGTTTTTTCCCCCTAGGGATCTAGTCAGAGAGCGACATGCATGTAAGCTTGCTGATGACCTCAGCCTACCACGGTCCCTGCAGTCCACTGCTCTGCCGCCATTTCTGATTTATGATGCTGTTGCTGTTTTTACTAATGTTGCAAAACGTACTCCTAACATGTTCTCTATGACTTCAAACACTTCCATCTTCAGTGACAGGGTATTGTCATTCTTTAGAAAACAATGTTATATGTGCATGTAGATGGTTAAGGTTTGTTTCCCATAACAGAATCAGACCTGACCAATATATGCAGCTTTAGAGAAAACATAGCAGCAGAGAAGCAATGCTTCTCTGACAGAGGTACGAACTGGGGCAAATTTAAATACACACACGCATATATATGTATGAATGAAATAAGGGGACAGATTTCTATATTTGTGAGACAAAATATCACTAACTTTATTCTCAAGGCAGTTACCTAGAGAAGGAATCGGAGTATTCCTGCTGTATTAGGGGTGTTTGAGCTACATGGTGAATGTTTACATTTAAAGAAATATTACAGTATAAAAACATATTGCCACCAATTTCTTTTGCTTCAAAGACACTTAGCATTCTTGTCCCTTTCTGAAGCAGCTCTGGAAGCTCAGTGAAAAGGCAGCCCTGTGAGAATGTCACAGTGTGTCCCCATCCACTTATTCACCAGCTCTGGCACTGTGTGGCATATGGCTCTGGCCCAAAGTCAAAATGGCCAAGAAAGGTCAATGTTTCACATTAATTCAGAGACATTGAGGCAGCCATTACAGCATAATGAAAGGTACTCTGTCTGCCTCAGGTAGTGGAGAAAGAACAGCGGGGTGAATTCAGAGTGAGGGAGTATTTCAAGGGGGATCAACCGTAGAGCACTTTTTAAACAATCATCATATTTCTTGATCATACCTCATAGTTATGTAAAAGCTACTCCTTTGTTTCTAGGGCATAGATGAGCCATCTAAGATTATTAGAAAATTGTAAGATAGAAATTCTTCCTTTGTCATTGTCTGCCAGTTATACATTGCATTTTTAACTAGAAAGCAGGATCACCAAACCTGGTAAAGGCAAACAACCTTAGAATTTGGACTCAGATTTTCAGGGGAAGTTTTATATTTCCACTATGTGGACAGGTAGTGGAATACACGATCCTCCACACATGCGTGTGCTCTAAGTTCCACACATGGGCTTATTGTTCCAACTACAAGAACACCAGCTTGATTTTTCTGTTTTAAAACTTTAAGGCTAATAATGTGTTTTACAGTAAGCTGCATAGCAGAGTAATATTATTTACAGCAAAAGAACTAACAAGTGGGTTTACAAGGCTTCATTCCATAAATATGTTTGCAATAGCTGAAATCACACAGGGTTCGCTCTAGCTCATGAAGAACACACGATAGCAAAGTCAGGGAGCTTCACAAACACACCCTTGTGGTCACTTTCGGTTAGCACCAGAGAACAGATATGCAAGGAAATATTGAAGTTGCATTTCTTTGGACTTCCTACAAATGGCTTCTCTAAATAAAAGCTGCACAATCCTAGCAGGGTTCTTTCTTGAACTCCATTAATGATTGGAAAACCAGAATTTCTGGTAGCAATGAAGGAGGACGCAGTATCCTTTGGTGACACAAGATGTGGGGCGGGAGGCCTGCACTAGAGCCACTGCACCCAGGTGAAGCCCTGCAGGATGCCTAGTGATTTACTACCGGGGATATGGCTATGAGTCCCCTTAAAAATCAAGGTTATTTTCCATCATTTTTTGCTATGGTCCAAGTTTAACACTTACTCATGATTTATATGAAAGAGCAGGGTTAATTTAGATGGTGTAATTGCCTGAAAAGGGGCACCAAAAAGTTTTGTTGCTAATTGTTAAAACTTAACCACCTTAAATAAATACTGTAACTTAAAGGAATATTTATATAAACAAAAATTTCATTTCTGCAGAGCAATGTGGTTTAATCATCTAATAGGATGGACGGAAAACCATTTGTAAAATGTTAATAGGGATAGTACACGCGGCCAGGTCTAGGCCTGGGAAGACAGGGAAAATGGCTTCACAAGAAGTTTGCAGCCGTATGGGGAAGGTAAAATAGGACCACGCTACTTTCCTGCATCTTCTTTGGTGGTGGAAGGAAAGCAAAGAGCTGGTTCAAGGTTTTTACTTCACAATTTCTGCTCCAGTTGAAACTGACTTTGACGAGCAGTTTGCTCTATGGGTTTTGACTTTTTTTCAATTAGCTACAAATGAATGCCTGAGAATTCCAAATGCCAAATTCAGAATAGAACTGTCACCAGGACATGGTACACAGAGCACTTCAACTGTGTAAGGTAGTATTTTGTCACAGAAGGTGAGCTTTTTTAGTCACAGAAGCTATTTATATTCTTCTTCTTCTTCTTCTTCTTCTTCTTCTTCTTCTTCTTCTTCTTCTTCTTCTTCTTCTTCTTTTTTTTTTTTTTTAATTAATTTATTTATTTATATTGTGTGTGTGTGTGGCCAGCTCAGCCCACCAGGTGGCGGGGCTGGCTGGCATGTGGTGCTGGGGGATTGAACCGCAGTCCCTGTGCTTTGTTTGGCTTAGCTAGTCCTAAGTAGGCGCTTTAGACCACTGAGCCATCTCACCAGCCCTTTTTTTTTTCTTTTTTTTATTTATATTATTCTTGACACTTTTTCATAGACTGAAATGTTTCATAGAATCACAATTTTCAATAGAGATAGTATAAAATGTTATCTTTTAAATACACTATTATTATAACAACTATAATAAGCTATTATCTAATTACACTTGTTGGTAAACTTTTTATAGGAGGTAATAATGAAATGAAATCTACAAAATGGTAAATATCCATCACTGTTTAGAAAATAAGATTACATGCCTTCCTTCTCTTCTCCATCTAATGGCTACCTAGCTGAACTGATGTTATTAGGGACTCTTATCCCTACAGTGCTATGTTAGGAAAACCAGTAAATAGTTTTGAATGGAAAGAAAAATACAAGCTATTCACAAGCATAACACATGGTTGTCCCACAGCTCCATGAGGGTAAAATCCCCTTGGGTTGGGTGTAAGCAGGAAAAGGTGAATATGGTAGATGTTGACTTGCATGTCATATAGAACTTGAGATGAGAAAAAGAAATCAGAAGCAGATATCCTTTTAACAGTGAGCATTAGATTTTTAAGCAGCACAGTGAAAAAGAGTTCAGGAGCTCCTAGCAACAGCCCTAATAATAATACATCCATAGATGCCTAGGAAAGCATCTGTCCTATTGGCATCTTCATTTTGCAGCTGAGATCTGTAGAAGACAGAGACAGCAACTCCTCCCAAATGGCCCATGTAGGTTAGGTAGCGGTGCAAGACCGACTGCAACACAGATTTTGTTTTCAGACTAAGGAGAGGTCAAATGCCAGACCATGTTCAAAGAATGCTTTAAAAGCTCTTGCACAATTTTCAGAAAATCATCAGAAAGATTGAAGTACTTTTTGAAAGAAAAGAAAGCAGATCCTTCTTTTAGGTAGACACAGGAATTATAGCGCCCTTGAAGCAGTTTAAGAGAAATGCGCAATCCTACTAATAAATGAAGTTTTAAACAATGCTCCTATATTTTACTATGTAAGGAATAAATTTGAAAACACAGTAGGCACACTAAGCTTTGTGTTATTTTGTCTCTCCTTCCCCATATGCAGTACCACCTTGCAGAAAAAGGTTAACAATTTAGAAAAGTGGGTCTAGAACATGATGTTAACTTGGCAGTTAAAGAATGCATCCAACCTACTCAGGTTGAGGGACACAAATTCCAACTGTTGACTGAACACACCCTCTGAACCTCTCTCCAGGCATGAAACATGCTTCTTTCTCTTTGCATTTTACAAAAATAAAAAAAAAATTGAGTGAAAAGTGGACTGAACCGAGGACATACTTTGTTCAAACTAATAATAGATGCTTTAGTAGTAAAAATGCTAATGGTAGCCAAGGAGCCACAAAAGTATAGATCCATCACAGTTCGATCCCATTAATGAAATCAGGACAAAACTGAGGGAAATATTTAAAGCAACCAGTTTGGCTTTAAAGTGAAGAAATGGTTGTACATCAAAAGGACACTGACTCATTCAGCCCCTAACTAATCAGGACAGCCCTGCATGGCCAGGCAGCCTAAGCATAATATGTGTTTTCAGTCACCAAGAAACTTGAAATATAGTAAGGAAAAATAAAATCCATTATGTGGTTTGAGAGCAATTAAATACTTACTGACTGGGCCCTGAATACTGATGTTAGGATTATAAGGAGGAAGCCCT